TAAAAAAAAAAAAACCTCTAAAAAAAAAAAAAAAAAGAAAAGAAAAAGAAAAGAAAAGAAATGATGCAGAGAGATCATGAGGATGAAAATTGGGACCAGCAGATGGTGTAATGATTATGTTTCTGGACTCCTATGTAGTTGACTGTGGTTTAAGTTCTGAACCCTGCGGTTTAAAACTCATGCTGGGTGTGTGCCCAAAATCCCAAGAGAGAAATTGAGGAGAGGAAATTGCAGCATGGTCATCCTCCCTAGGGGGTGATTTCTTGCTTTTTGTCTCCCTGGTGAGCACACACACCCTATAGTAAAAAACTCTCTTAAAAAAAAGAAGAAAATTTAGCTGCTCTAAGGCATTTGGTGATCCTCATGAGACCAGTTTCAGGAAGGTGGCAGGGACTCAAGGAGAAAAAAAGTCCCTTAGAATAAGAGGACAATGCAACAACTTAAATAATATTCTTATTTATATAGTGCGAGGAATTTGAATGGTGGTCACCATGTAGGATCTGGCTTCTCTTGAGCAGGGCATTAACACTGCAGCATTATCACTGTACCATGGCTGCATTTATTTCTTGAAATAGAGAGAGGGAGGGAGAGAGAGAGAGAGTCTCTCCCTGGCTGCAATCCTGCCCCCAGTCTTCTAGCCAACCAGGATTACGGTGCACATGGGCGTGCCTGGTGCATTCAGTTAACCTGGAATCTGAACCTGGGCCTCCCAAATGACTCCAGCATCAGTTGTGTCCCTCAATTTGCCCCACAGCTTGAGCCACTATAGCTGAGCCTGATTATTTAATTTAAACCAATATGGAACATCCCTTTGTCCAGATTATTAAATATAAAAAATGGATAAACTAGTTTAAATGAACTATATAATACCTCATATTTTGATATTTGGAAATATATACATATATATTTAGAGAGATTTTTTTCTATAGGACATGTGCACTCATTGGAGGGATAGAGAGAGATAGAAAGCCAGAAAATAAGAAATCACCCCCCCCACCCCCTGGGGAGATGGCCCTGCTGCAATCCCTTCTCCGTTCTCCTCTTGGGATTTTGGACATTGCACACACACATGTTTGGTGTGAGCTTAAATTGCCAGGTCTGGGATTTGAACCATGGTCAACTATGTGGGAGTCCAGAAATGTAACCATTACACCATCTGCTCATCTCAATATTTGGAAAGATACTATCTAATTTTCATTTTAAATTCTAATTTTTTGTTATCTTGTAGGAAAAAATTAACTATTTCATTTGTTTTTAAGGTCAGACTTCATTGGGACAGAAAATATTTGAGATGAGTTCAATTCTAAGTTTAGAGCCTTAAAACTAATCAAATTCTTTTAAAAAATATTTTATTTAACTTTATTTATTTATCCATTTATTTGACCAGAGAGGGACAGAGCGTGTGTGTGTGTGTGTGTGTGTGTGTGTGTGTGTGTGTATGCGACAGAGAGAGAGAGAGGGAGAGAGAGAGAGAGAGAGAGAGAGCAAGCAAGAAGGCAAGCCACCAGGTCTGGGACTCGAACAACTATGGTTGGTCATATGAGAGTCCAGTGCTGTCAACCACCACATCACCTGCTGGCCCCAATCAAACTCTCTCTCTCTCTTTTTTTTTTTATTTGGAGAGGTTTTTGCTGTAGGGAGCCTGAGCTTGCCAGACAGACAGAGAGAGACGGAGAGACAGAAAGTGAGAAATCACCCCCCAGGGGGGATGGCCATGCTGCAATCCCTTCTCCTCCATTCTCCTCTCGGGATCTTGGGCACGCATGCACACGCACCTGGTGTGAGTTTTAAGCCACTGGGTCCGGGACGCGAACCATGGTCGACTACATGGGAGTCCAACGACATAGCCATTACGCTAACTGCTGGCCCCTCCCAATCAAGCTCTTTTAAAAACTTTATTAATTTATTTATTACGTCTGACAATGGCACAATCCCTTCTTCATTCTCCTGGTTTCTTAACACACATGCACATGTGCCCAGCATGATTTTTAAGCCACCAGGTTCAAGACTCGAACAGTGGTCAGCCATGTGGGAGTCCATGGTGTAACCACGGCACCGTCTGCTGGCCCACTAAGCATTCACTTTTTTTATTTTTTAGAGGTTTTTTTTTGTTTTTTTTTGCTATAGGGCATGTGTGCCCACCAGAAAGAGAGAGACAAAGAGACAGAAAGTGAGAAATCACCCCCCAGGGGGGATGGCCACACCGCAATCCCTTCTCCTCCATTCTCCTCTTGGGATCATGGGCATGCATGCACACGCGCCTGTCATGAGTTTAAGCCAGGTCCGGGACTCGAACTGCAGTCTACTACATGAGAGTCCAGTGACATAGCCATTATGCCAACTGCTAGTCCCAATCACTGTACATCCTTACAGCATACAACATGATTTTCCCTAGCATGAACACAGTGGATACTAGTCCAGTCCAAAACATTATCATATATATTATCGTCAACAGATACCTTTTTATTTTTTGGGTCTGTTAAATATTCTTTCTTTCCCTGATTTTCCTCCCTCCTATCCCCCCACTACCCACCCTCTCCTCGACTGTCTTTATTATCTACAGTTGCCCTATCTGCTTTTATATCTTCCAGTCTTTCAATTTCTGCCAAAGAGTGCAGAAACTGATATTTAAGCGGGGACATGAATACTGTCTTAATCAAACTAGTAAACATTAGATATGAGAAAATTCTCTCTCTTTGCTGATGACATGACTACAAACCTAGATAACCCAAGGCATTTCTAAAAACAAAACCCCAAACAAATAAAACTACCGAATGTAGTAAAGTGACCACATATAACACATAAAGGTAAATAACTTGTCTCCATTTTCATTTGTTCCCCTCTGTGGTGCCTTTTTTTTTTTCTGTGTAGAAATAGGAAATACAAGTTTCTTTGATTCCTAGTATAACTCTCTTTAAATTCTTAGGTGCTTTTGTTTACATTTTTCCTTCTTGATTATACTCTAAAGTCCAAATTAAATCCGAGGCCATTAATTAAATGGTATTAAGTATCTAGGCATGGAAAAAATTCTTGGTCTAGTGCTTTGTGAAATCTCATAGTATGAAAACGGTTTAAAATGACCAAGTGACCTTTAGTTTTTGACATTTGTATCAACACTCTATAGCCAGGACATCCCTTTCAACTTAAAAATTATGTTTTTCTCTTTATGTGCTCTTTAGACAACTCGAGTCAGCTTTGCACATGAAATAGATGGATGGAAGAAATCACTCAGTGGTGTCTGAATTTTTGCTGCTGGGATTCACCTGTTCTTTGGAGATTCAGATTCTCCTTTTTCTGTTTTTTACAACATTTTACATAGCAAGTATGCTGGGAAACCTTCTCATTGTACTCACGATCATCTCAGACCATCACTTGCATTCTCCGATGTACTTCTTGCTGGCAAATCTTTCCTTCATTGATACAGGTGTTTCCAGCATTGCAACTCCTAAGATGATTTATGACCTTTTCAGAAAACATAAAGTCATCTCCTTGAAAGGGTGCATTACTCAGATGTTCTTTATTCACACCGTGGGGGGTACAGAGATGGTGTTGCTCATAGTCATGGCCTGTGACCGATACATCGCTATCTGTAAGCCTCTCCACTACCTGACCATCATGAGCTCAAAAACATGCATTTCTCTTTTGGCTGCTTCTTGGACGATTGGACTCATCCATTCTGTGGCCCAACTGGCTTTTGTTGTAAATTTACCCTTTTGTGGTTCCAACAAAATGGATAGCTTTTATTGTGATTTTCCTCGATTCATCAAACTTGCATGTATAGACACCTACAGATTGGAGTTTCTGGTCACTGCCAACAGTGGGTTCATCTCCATGGGCACCTTCTTCATCTTGATTTTGTCGTACATCTTCATCCTGGTCACAGTTCGTAAGCACTCTTCTGGTGGTTCATCCAAAGCCCTCTCAACTCTCTCAGCTCACATCACTGTGGTGGTTCTTTTCTTTGGTCCTTGTATTGTTGTTTATGTGTGGCCATTCCCTACCTTACCCATAGATAAATTTTTAGCTATCTTTGATGCCCTTATCACTCCTTTTATGAATCCCGTCATTTACACCTTTAGGAATAAGGAGATGAAGGTGGCAATGAGGAGACTGTTCATTAAGGCTTTCAGTTTCAGGAACAGTTCTTTCATAAACAGACCAAGAAATTCAGAGTCATTTTGATTCTTCTTGGAAAGTAATCTCTTTCACAAAACATTTCACAAATCTTTTAAGTTTAGTGTTTTAAATATCTACTATTAATCCTTTCTGGTCAATTCTTTTTTTCTTTTTTAATGGTTCTTGTCATACAGTGATTACTGGAGAGAGAGAGGGGGAGACAGGGAGAGGGTAAGTGATTACCCCCTAGGGGGGACGGCCATGCCACAATTGCATCTTTTCCTTTCTCCTCCTGGGATTTTGAGCATGCATGCACATATGGCCCTGTGATTTTCAAACCACCAGGTCCAAACTCAAACTGTGGTCGGCCACATGATAGTCCAGCACCTTAACCACTACTTCACCTACTAGCCCGTTTGGTCAGTTCTTAATAGAGAAATCTTGTTGTATGAATCCTGAAAATATTGAGAGGAGTGAATTCAGCCTTGAAATATAGTGTCCAAGGGACTAGCAGATGGCATAATGATTACGACTCTGGACTCTCATGTAGTCAACCATGATTCAAGTCCTGGACCTGGTGGCTTAAAACTCATGCCAAGTGCATGTGCGTGAGTGCCCAAGATCCTGAGAGGAGAATGGAGGATAAGGGATTGTGGAGTTGCCATCCACCCCTGGGGGGTGATTTCTCATTTTCTGTCTCTCTGTTTCTCTCTGTCCCTCCAGTGAGCACACACTTTCTATAGCAAAAATGTCTCTCTCTCTCTTGAGAGAAATATAGTGTCCTTGTTTATTATGAAAGACTTTGGTCACAGTGATTGTTGAAATATTGTGTACTGGTCACATTTCTCATTGATACCAAATGTTGAGCACTATTCTCTTTGGTGCTTATTCTCAAAGGTGTATCTTTCCTTTTCTTTAAAACTTTTATTATTTTATTTATTTATTATTACTTGTTAGTTTGACCAGAGAGAGAGAGAGAAAGAAAGTAAGAAAGCAAGTCACCAGGTCCAGGACTTGAACCATGGCTGACCATGTGGGAATCCAGCTCCTTAACCACCACACCACCTGCTGGTCACAAGGTGTATCTTTTCTAGTCCACATGTGTACCTATATTCATGCTCTCTGAGCTTCTCAGTGTCTAAATACCTGGAAGAAATGAAGATGATTAAGAACTTGAGGCTTTTAACATTTGAATTTGCTTACTCACATTCATATTTGGTTGGTACTAAGATTTTTTTATTTAGTTACGATTGGAAGATGAAATTTGGGGTAAATCATAGAGAGACAATTCAAGAAACTTTAATATGATGAGCCAATAAAATATTTTGATACTAGAACATGTAAATTCCTTTGCCGCTCAGTGAGTACAATAAAACTTTTGTATCCCAATTATCTCCTAAACAATAGTCATTATTTTTGTATGACAAAGAAAACTATTACATATTAAATAATTTAAAATAAATTGCCTACTTGGGGGCTAAGAAAGGGGATACTAATTTATGAATAAATGAACAAAAATGCAAAAGCTCTATTGGATGTTAACCAGATTTATAACTAAACAGAAAGTAAATTCAAAGTGTAGAAATTATTGACGTAATGGCTGTGTTGCTGGACTCCCATGTAGTCGTCCGCAGTTCGAGTCCTGGACCTGGTGGTTTAAACTCAAGCCAGGCACATGTGCGTGCGTGCCCAAGATCCTGAGAGGAGAATGGAGGAGAAGGGATTGCAGTGTGGCCATCCCCCCTGGGGGGTGATTTCTTACTTCCTGTCTCTCTGTCTCTCTCTCTCTCTGTGTCTTTCTGGCAAGCACACGCACCCTATAGCAAAAACCTCTCCAAAAACAAAACAAAGTGTAGAAATTATGAAATAAAATATATTACAAAACTATATATAAAGACAGAGCTAGAAAGCTATAATGGGGATGGCTCTGTGGCACAGAGGTAATGCACTATTCAGGAGAAGTCAGATCTCACATGGCTACTGTGGTTCAAATACCTGGTCTGGTCAGCCTGCAATATGCTAGGAACATGTGCAAGTACCCATGTACTGATGGGCTGAAGAACTGGAGGAAAGGGTTCATGACATGACCAGACTCTGTGGCAGGTTTTCTCTCTCTCACATGCATGCATGCTCGATCATGAATAAAGAGAAAAAAAGCTGTGATGAAGAAATATATTACACATTCATGTGATAATATATATAATTATTCTAAAAATAAATATGCTATTTAGAAGTAGTATAAATAACTACTCAAAGAGAGTATCTCACTGTTCTTTCTGGATTACTGAATAAGTAGGAACAGGTGTTGTGTGAACACACTATTAGACAAGTGTGTGTTATACAACCTTTCAGGAAACTGGCCTGTCATCCTTGAGCTTTGCATAACCTGTGACTTTCTTCTAATGAGAACAGTAGACCAGTAAAAGAAAATATGATGTTCAAGGCTGAAATTAATATTATTGGCAAATTTTTCAAAATAATTATTTATTTACTTTTATTTATAATTTAAAAAATGATTTGCTACAGGGCACATGCAATCATTACAGAGAGGGAGAGAAAGAGAGAGAGAGAGAGAGAGAGAGAGAGAGAGAGAGAGAGAATAAGAAAAAGAGAAAGTGAGAAAGAAAACCACTAGGTCTGAGACTCGAACCATAGTTGGCTATGTGGGAGTCCAGTGCCTTAACCACCGCACCACCTGCTAGCCCGTTTTCGGTAAATCTTTATGCTCTCCCCTGTGTGAGTTTGCAACTGAACCTCAGCTAGAAGATTAGACCTTCTAAAATTTGAGGATAGGTCTGTTTACACTTTTCTCTTGTAGTTTTTGCTTTTATGTGTTAACAAATTTCATACTAGGCATTGCATCCCTTTCAAATATACTTCTAAATTTCTAACACCAGTCCTGACTTCCCTGAACTGCAGACAACACAACTTAAAGAGAAATTCCACCTGTCACTTGTATTAAGCTCGTCACCTTTCCCTTAGAAACCTAGCTCTTCTGCATTTCTGATCTAGATTGGTGAAAATGTCTAGTCTTTTCAAGCTAGAAACCTAGGAAACACCTAGATTCTGCTCCTATCCACTAGAATACAGTCTACTTAAAAAAAATATATTATATATATTTGTCCCCTTCTTCTCCCTTTCAGTGTCATTTCCTTAGTCCAAACTACCTCATTCCTCACCTCTGAGTTGGTTTCTGGGCATTGAGCCTCCCATTGCCCCAAAGCTCCCCCACGAAACCACCAGATAGATTTTCTGTAACATGAACTGAATCTGTTCAATATTTTATGCAATGTGGTGACTGCTTTCAGTAATCACCTACCATATACGGCTGGGATTCTTTTCCTCCTTCATATTCCTTGGATGGGAGAGATGAAATCTTGGTGTTTGTTATGGTTTTGGATATGCTGATATTACATTTTGGTAAAACATGTAAATTTTGAGCACCAAAACATGGAATTTCTGACTTTTAACAATCATTGTTTCCAGGACCTGTCATAGAGTAGTTTGGTCTACAATAAACATAGATCACAAGATGTGACTCTGAAAGACACAGAGAGCTATCTTTACTAATAGTTATGAGATGTACACATTGCGGACATTGGGGTAGGGGCTGCGGCTCTAGGAGGAGCTGGGAATCAGAAAACTGGAGAAGAGTTTGTGAAAACCATCTTTTTGGGCTTACCTTGAGCTGACCGAATATATTCTGATGTCATGGACAGATCTCATGAGGTCAATAATATCTAAGAATCTGTAAATATTTGGTTTCCCTGCAATTCTCCGTGACTTATAGAGAGCCCTGTTTCCCGAAGAAAGAGAAATGCTGGCAACTAATATTTTTCCACCCTCAGTCTGAGTTTACAATTTCAATGACTTTCTGACAAATTTTCTCATGATATATTTTACAGACAGGACTGTAAAATGTACTGGATGACTATAAAATTCAGTTTATAGTCCCACCTATCTTATGTGTGCTCTAAATGTGTGTCAGGGGGATTTTGGCTAAAGGATTTTTCTTTTCTTTTAGGGTGGGTTTTGCCATAGGGCATGTATACTTGCCAGAGAAAGAGAGGGAAAGTGGGAAATCATCCCCCAGGGATGGCCATGCCACAATCCCCCCTCCTCTATTCTCCTCTAGAGATTTTGGGCACATATGCCCATGTGCCTGGCATGATTTTCAAGCCTCTGCGTCTGGGACTCAAAACTCAGTCATCTTGAAGTCGAACACCTCAACCACCACAACACCTGTTGGCCCCCTTTTTTCTTTTGTTTCTTCTTTTTTTTAAATAGCAGTTTTCTAAATGTAAAAGGATAATGTATGTTAAAGAAAATCAGAAAAATACACACAAAATTTGATCATATTTTTATACTATTTTTAGCAAGAATCAGTGGTTAACAGCCATGTATATGAGGGGTCTTCAAAAAGTTCATAGGGAATGCATATTATGAAGAAAATATGCATAGACCTCAAACATTTTGCACCAGAATGAATCTGTAATTTATTTTTCCCCCCAGTTACTCAAGTTTCTTTATACGAAGGAGATACTGTCAATTTTCAAAGATTTGAGGTACGAGGACCAAACTGATAACATTACACTTTTAGTACAGCTAACTTCTTTTTATTATTGTGGATTTTTAAAAAAGAATAATTTTAAGTGGGAGTCCAGTACCCTTAACCACTATGCCACCTGCAGGCCCCTATAACTAGCCTCTTAATGACAAACTAAACAAAACATCCATATTCTTTTTCTTTTTGAAAAGAATTATTTATTTAATTTTATTTATTATTATTAATTTTTTAACTTGCTATAGGGCACGTACACATGAGAGAGAGAGAGAGAGAGAGACGGAGAAAGTGAGAAAGTGAGAAAGCAAGCTACCAGGTCCAGGACTCAAACTGCAGTTGACCATGTGAGAATTTAGCACTTTAACCACCATTCCACCTGGTGGCCCCCTTCATCTACTATCCTTAAATGACAGTCCCAAGGATGAACACTGTTAAGGAGAAAGATAAGCATTATATCTGAAAACCTGGTTGCCCTTCAATGACTAATGATGAGTTATAACAC